AGTGTTTTGTTTTGTTTTTGTTTTTGTTTTTAGAGAGATTTTTGCTATAGGGCACATGCGCTCACCAGAGAGACAGAAAGTGAGAATCTCCCCCACCCCCCTGCGGGGGTATGGCCACATTACAACCCCTTCTCCTCCATTCTCTTCCCAGGATCTTGGGTGTACATGCATATGTGCTCAGTGTGAGTTTTAAGCCACTGGGTCCAGGACTCAAACAGCAGTCAATTACATAGGAATCTAGAGTAATGTAACCATTATGCCGTCTGCTGGTCCCTACTTTAAAAGTCTTGAGGGTCAAGTATGGCAATGTATGTAGTCTCTAACAGAGTTCGGCTCTGAAGATATGCTAATCTTGTTATTTATGAGTTGTAACCAACTAGGTGGCTTCTCTAAAGGAGCAGTCTCTCTCCCACAGAGGTAGGATTCTTTATCCTACTACCACAACCAGGGTGTTGTGCAGTGTTCTGGTTGGTTACTCCATACTGAACAGTTCCCAAGTACTGGAAGAGCATCCTCTTCCTCCCAGACTTCTCTGATAGCCTTAACTATGCCCTAAGAGAGCCCATGGGATCTGCTCTGGGTGACACCAAGTGAGGCTGTCAATGAAGTCTCTTGAATCCCAAAATAAGGACCCTGATTCTAACTGCAGATTGTAGTCCACTCTCCCCGTTGCTTGACCAAGACTGCAGAAGACTTAAATATTGAAAGGATGGGGGATTGGATTCTTGACAACATCTGTAAATATTTGGAGAGCAGAAGCTTCATTCCCAAGAGGTCTCAGACCTCTGGCTTTCAGCTGCCACTGTGTTCCTACCCCATCCCTGTGTCATTAGAACTTCAGTGTACAGTGGCCAATATCCGATTGCCAGTGGGTGTATCTCTGTACCATGGAAATCCCTCTGCTCTTGTACAGGCCGCCTTAGGAGTGTCTCACCATCCCTAGAACCTGATGGGTGTTGGTGTGTACACACCCAAGCTCTTTCATATTGGGTGAGGTAATTCCAAATGTGTGTATTCTGTTTTCTCCCAAAGTTGTCCTGCAACAAAACCAGCTGTTCACAGTGATAGTTGGTGTGACAAGGTACCCTTTATTGATTGCCTTCCCATCCTCAGCATGGCTGCCAACCCCTCCCAGTATTCCTTGCACGTCTCACATGGACTAGTTGTATTCAGAATATTATCTTGAAACTTCTCTCTGGGGAAACCATATTCAGACAGGTTTCTACTTGACAATCTCAAAGTCAATGCTAACAGAGACCAGACAGGAAATAAAATTAATAAATAGAAGAATCGAACCCCCCCCCTCATCCTTTCAATATTCCCCTCTTCTATATCCCTGGTCACTGATAAAAACAAAAGTCCAAAGCTCAGCAAGATTCTTGACCACTAAAGATAAATTTAGTTAAGATGAGGAAACTTAGTTTATATACATATAATACACACACATATATATAATTTTTTTTAAGATAAAGAAATGAAGTAAGAAATGTGACACAAACTTACCAAAAAAGCTTCAAACACAAAGTCTCCTGGAAAATATGTGCAAATCGCTGTTAACTAGAAATTTCTTTTACTTGTAACAATTTCCCACCTACTCTGAGAACCACAGACTTAGCTTGCTATGCTAAGACGATGTTCCCTGGTAAAACCTTCCCATTGGGAAGTAGGGTCCTAGAAAATACATGGCAATGCAACAGCATCACATATAATCAGTTTTATTGCCAGGTAAGAAATTCATATTAATATAGTGAATACATATGTTTACAAATAAACATTCTTAGAAAACAAACGTTTTTTTTTCTTCATTGTAGGAAGTATTATTGGTATCATAAACTGTAGTTGTTGACAAGTATTAACACAGGTTTACTTGCAGAACATACGGTTACTAAAATATTTGCACATAAAATATGCTCCATCTACACACACACACACAAAAAAAAAAAAAAAAAAAAAAAAAAAAACCTGGAGGGGAGTTAGAAAGGGATGCCAGGCGGAGCCCAAGGCAGATGGAGGCTGAGGTGTTCTGGGAAGGCCAAGGGAAGTCAGACTCTGGTCCCATTGGGGTAAAAATCAGAAAACAGCTAAAAGCAAGAAATAGAGGCGAGTGCAAGGGTCTGGAATGAGGAGGGGACAATCTCTCTGCATTGTTCTGGGTTTTCTTTTCTAGGTCTCCCCACCCTAGCTATAGGATCCTTGTCTTGGTACATGGCAGCTGCAGGTAGTTCCATAAGCTGTCCTTCTCTCAGTATCTTGAGGTCTGTCCACCCTCCCAAGAGGAAGCCAAAAAATAAACAGAACATCTCTGTCCAAATGTTCCTCCTCAGTTCACGTTTCAAAGTCTACTGGAAGGCAATGAGACTGAGAAGCACTTTGCAGACTGTCTTTCTCAGATAGGCCTACTTGGGAAGTACTGATCTTTGTTGGTTGTCATCTCTGCTACATTTTATGGACTGGGCTGCACCTTTGCTGCCATGATCACACCTGCAGACATCAATGAGCCAAGTTCACAGGATGAAGTTTACTTAGAAGAAGAGCATAAAAAAGAAAGAAAATGCTACAGGTTCAGTTGAGGGTAAAGAGTAAAGGTGAACTAAAAAGGGAAACAAGAATTACTGAAGCTTTAGAATGAAAGAAAACTCACAATTAAGCCAACCCAGTATTTCCTGCAGTGTAGACTGTGTACCATTAGTGTATGCAAAATGATTGTGGGCAGTGCATGGATACAGCACTATCTAACACTGCCTTCTCCAGGGAATGATTCCCTCTTCATTTACCTCTCAGCTCACCTGACTACTTTCAAGGAGAAAGTTGCCATTGGGTGCTGGTTTCTTTAACCACTCTGCTCAGTTATTTTTAAAAGGGAGAGAGTGCACCACGCCTCAGGTTCATACCCTTCCACGAGCAACAGTAGCTAGCTGGAATGTACTTGTCGCTGTTCTGTTGCTTTGTACTTATTTTTATGCTTGCTTTCTATTTATGGCGATTGATGTTTTCTATTTGTGATGCTGCAGGAAATTTTCCTTTTAAAAATAAAATGTACTAAAAATGAATCAGCTTAAAGTATCGTGAAGGGGTTACCCAGAGATGCCAAAAGTGTGCTGCAGGTAGTTAGCTAACTAATGTCAACGAGACAGGGACCAAGCCCACCAGTACTTACTCCACTCTGGGAAGTGTTGGGGTCTCAGCAAGGAGACTGAGAGGGTGAGTACTAAATCTTCAGCCCCGCTTCATCCATCTCTGCACCTCTTCGTAAATAAAGATCTTGTATAGTGGATTATTTGCAAGGTTTCATTTTTTTTTTAATAGGCAAAGGATTTGCTTTTTTTCCAAAAGCAGGAAAAGCTTGACCTAGCCCCAGTTCTCCATGTTTCAGATAAGAGACGAAGGCCCGGAGAGACAAAATGCATTGTCAGTGCTTCATATCTGCTGGGAATAAAAAGAAGATTTTGCTGACTCTGTGATGACAGAGGGAGAGACAGGTGAGGCAGAACATTGCAAGATTCTGGGAAATGCTCTGAGCCTTCTTGGATCAGACCATTCACAGTTTCTACACTAGAGGAGCCCTGATCTCTTGAAGATTCCTATTAATTAATTAATTAATTAGATAAGACCTTTAAGGGCTAGTTGAAACCTCTCACCTTAAAGGAAAATCTTTCTTCTCCCTCAATGCACTATGGGCTTCCACTAAACAAGTAGAACTCATCAAAAAAAAAAAAAAAAAAAGTCTTCTGGGGGAAACCAAAGGGCTATTGGCTATGAGGATCAATCTGAAAAATCACTTCGGGAGATGCTGGATGGGAGCTGAATCTGTGGAAGTATCTGGGGAGGTCATTTGGAGGGACCGAGGGAATTAGGAGACCCAGAAATGTCTGACGAGTTTGGGAGGATAGAAAATGGTGGGACTCGTGTCACGAATGTGGGGAGTGGGGAGTCTCCGTCCTTAGGTACCCCTGACATTGCAGCAGCCCCCTCAGAGGGTGTCACAGGGCGGCTTACCTACAAAGGAAGGATGGAAACGTCTTCTACTACTGAAGGAAAACGAGAGGGAGGGTGGCTAAAAGAACACAGGTTGCACTTAGGAAACAAGACTGTCATTAAACAACAGTAACACATTGAAGGCACCACCCACGCTTATGACATTTTCAGTCCAAAGCAGTTGAAGTTTGGCAGCGGCGGCGGCAGCACGCTGAAGGGGAAGGGAAGTCGGGGACAGACAGTTCATAGAGGACTTGTTTTGGTGGCTGTTGCAGGTCCTGGAGGCAAGAGGGAAACACCAGAAACCAGAGTTTCCGGGTCCCCTTCTCACTTCCTGTCGACTTTTCCAACTGTAGATTTTTGTTATTGTTGATGCTGATTTCCTCAGTCCCAAAGATTTGGGACAAAACGTAATTTGTTTTCTTGTCTTGTTTTGTAGTGGGCTTATATTTTATTTCTCTTTAAAAAAAGGTAATTTAATACTCTCTGGACCCTCTTCCCGCCACAGAAGTTTACTCCTCCCATTCAATGGTCATGGTCTTTATGAGAGTTCCCTTAATGTTCTTTCCATCCCATCACTGTCAGTGGGCTCAGGGTCTATTTATTTTTGTGAGTTCGAGTGTGTGTTGTTGTTTGTTTGTTTGTTTGTTTTTTGCTTTTAACATTGATATGAAAAGTACTATAAATATGATGTTTGGGGTCCGGTTACTGTGTCACACTTGTTGAAATTTTGTGTCCACATCACCACTTCTTGGGATCCAAAATGCTTATCATGTGGGCAAATTCCTCCCAAAATAACTCCTCTTCTGATGTACAATCTTGTCTCTATCCTCATTCTCTACCCCATTTCACCCAGCTCTTTTGCCGAGAAACAGCGCAGCAAATGGTGTATGTGCTCAAATGGATTTCTCTAAATTGTGCTACTTTTTTTTTTTTTTTTTTTTTTCATCATGGATCTCAGTTTCAAGTTAGGAGAAAAAGGAAAACTAGCCCCATGGTTTGGGCTTGTAAGCTGGCCCCCTTGGGCCTGACGCTGTTTAAAGAGTGTGCCTCAGTTTCTCCTTTGCTGTATTGCTGAATGTCCAGCCTTCGGTCTTCTTCAGTTGCCTGCCGACCCACATTAGGCATGACCCAGGAAAAGCGTGATTCCATGTCATCAGTAGGTTTATATCGGTTCTTGCTGAGAATGAGTGTGTGGGCGCGTGTGTTGGGGAGGACGGGGAGGTTAGGGCCGGGAATTTTTTTGCCTCTCTCGGTTGAGTGTGGTCTTCAGGGTGCTCCCTGTAACGAAAGCTCAGACAGTCACTTCTGTTTTGCTGTTGGTGATGAAGTATGGCTGTGGGGGTGGGTAGTGCTGGGTGCGAGTCCCCAAGGGGTCACTGGAGCCTGACTCGGCTGTGCCAAGCTTGCCCTTGTTGCCATATGCCTGCCGCCGGAGAGACTGCTCGTTGGGGTCCCAGCCCTTAAAGTTGGTGGTGGAGTTGTAGGCCAGGGGATGTGGGGGCATCTTGTTGGTGCGGGACTTCTGTCCGTTCTGTTTGGCAGGACCATGCTCAGGGCTGAAGGCTCGAGGCTCATCCTCCACTCTTACAGGGTGCAGAGGTAGGTTCCCCTTAGCGGCCAACTCGGCCAGATGCCGTCGCTTGGAGTAGAAGTCATCATTGACCTTGTCAGCTGTACAGTGAGAGAGGTGAATAAAGAAGGGAAGAGAGAGAGAGAGAGTTAGGAACTGGCAGGGCAACCCGAGAACAGCATAAAAATGGGCCAACAGTCCAAACAAGACACACCAGAAACTCCACCTAGAACAAGACAGGGGGACAGGCCTCATCAGGCTCTCTTCATGAACAAAGGTAGGACAAAGAAGATTGAGGACATCCTCAAGGAAATCTCTAGATTCCTCCAAAATAAACACTTTCCCTCCATAGTCCCACCTAGCATTCTGCCATCCTTGGCTCCTATTAAATTCAAATGTTTCTTCATCATTAAAATGATACATTTTCAACAGAGGAAAATATTGAATATATTGAGAAATATTCATAGGTATCACCTACCACTCAAGACAGCTGATATCAACTTTCTTATGTATTTTCTTCTGGTCTTTCTACAAATGGAGTTTAACTTGTGATTTTTCCTGGCTTGTTTGTTTGCAGTTCTTTATTTTTCTTTTTTAAATTTACGTCATATATATACATACATATATATATATATAATTTATGTATATATATATATAACGTTTAAAAATGTTTTTATAATGAGCAACGTGGTTTTTCTCAGCATGAATACAGTACATATTAGTCAAGTCAAAGATATTACTATGATGCATTATCAACAGGTAACTTTTACTTTTTTGTGACCATTAAATGTTTGATAGTTTTTTCCTTTCCTACCCTCCCACCCTCACTGCTCTCCTTCTATTACCCATCCCCTCTTATACTGTCTTTATTATCTACAGTTGTCCTCCTGTTTGTTTGCTTTTAACAGTTAAGCAGTTCAAGTCCCAACTCTGTTACGTACTAGCAATGCACTTTGACTAAAGTACTTAACCTATATTAGGTCAGTGGGAAAGTCATAGCATATTTTTCTGTTTTTGCTATGCAAAAATGTGTTATGACTTTCTCAACAACCCAATATTACCATCAGCTCTGCATAAGGATAACAGTAACAATTTACAAAGTATATTTCCTAAAGTTATCTGAAGATTTTTATAGTATGATATGTGTAAATGCTTAGATATTAGACTCCACAATTATCATCTTTGTCATTGTAACAACTGTTTCAATTCCCCCCTTAACAGTCTACCACATAAAACATTCTGCCATCTTGTTATAAATTACTAATAAGCTACATTATAAGTAGCATATAATGCCTACATAATGTTTCACTGAGTGGAATTTTCCTATGTAATCAATCCCCCTACTGATGAACTTCAAGTTGTGCCAGTATTATTGCTATTACAAATTAGGCTGACATGAGACTCTTTTGAGCCTAAAGCTCTCTTTCTATTTCAAATTTAGACTAATTCTAAAAATATTTTTAACATACATCAAGGATTGATAAACTAATAGCCCCAAAGTCAAAACCAGAAATCACCTATTTTGTAAAAATAAGTTTTATTGGACACAAAACCACATCTATTCACTTATGTATTGTTGATGGCTGCTATAGTAGAACTGAGTACTTGTGACAGAGACCACATACCCTGCAGACCTGACATACTTACTGCATAACCCAAGTGTAATTTTTTGACCAAAGAGCATAAACATTGTTAATGCCCTTGATACACACTGCCAAGTACTCTACAAAACTGTTGTACTAATTTCTACTGATTTCACCACATTCACCAACTTTGTTTTGTTTTTGTTTTTGTTTTGTTTTGTTTTTTTGGGAGATACTATTTGGCACACTACAGGTGCTCGTTCTTATTTTTTCTGGATTCACATAAAACCTACATATCATAGCTTAGGTTTCTCCACTGCTAATTCGACTTAAAAAAAAAAAAAAAAAAAGAGAGAGGTTTTTGCTATAGGGCACATGCGCTCGCCAGACAGTCAGAGAGAGACAGAGAGACAGAAAGCGAGAAATCACCCCCCAGGGTGGATGGCCATACCGCAATCCCTTCTCCTCCATTCTCCTCTCGGGATCTTGGGCACGCACGCACACACGCCCGGCGTGAGTTTAAGCCACTGGGTCCAGATCTCAAACCTCGGTCGACTCCGTGGGAGTCCAGCAACATAGCCACTACACCAACTGCTGATCCCCATTCTGTCCAACTTTGAATGAATCCCTCTTTCCTTCCTTTTTTTTTTTAATTTCAGGAGAATATGTGTACTTGTCAGAGAGAGACTGAGGTGCAGAGGAGCACCCCTCAGTGGGGCATGGTTGGGCTGCAATTCCTTCTCCTCTATTTATCCATCCTGTTGAGATTTGGGACATGTGCACATTCTTGCCCAGTGAGTTTTTCAAGCCTTCAAGGCCTAGATATGAACCATGATCAGCCATGTGGGATATAGTTCCCTTAACCACTAGGCTATGAGCCAGCTCCCTTCCTTCTTTTTCTTTCTTTATTCCCTTGCCTATGTATCTATTTTTATTTGATAATTTTATGAGATCTCCTTTTCTTTTATTGTATTTTCCCTTGCATTTTTTTAAATTATGAAATTTTTTATATTTTAAAAATTAATTTCTTAACAATAATTTTTAAACTTACATCTCTCAGGAGACCAGAAATATTTTCTGCTCTTCCATCTTCATTTCCAATTCCCGTAGTGTTGCATGTGTGAATTTACATAACTTCATGGAAACCATCATGTTAGATGCACCCAAATGCCATTTAACCTCTTATCCCTGTTTCCTTAGGTGTGAAGGGAAATCATATTGTCTATTCTCAAGTTTATTATGAGGTATAAATGGTAAGAAATATACAAGCTACACAGCACAATTCCTGGCATTTAGTAACTGATCAATGTATATATGTTATCTATCTTCTGCTTTATGAAAGGATCACTGAATTAAATTCAACAGGCATTTATTGAATACTTCCTCTGTGCCTGGAAACCTGCATAAAAGAGGCATTCGTCCATGCCAGTGTGCCTTCTTTCACTTTGTCCCTCTTTCTTTCCTCCCAACTGCCGTTTTTTGTGGAATGCCTAAGTTACTCCACCAGAGGACATACAAAGGCACCTTGATCTAATCAGGAGAAGGTCAGCAGTCAGGGAAGCATCCTTGAAGAAGTGCTATGTTTTTGTTTTGTTTTTAATTTGCCAGAGGGTATGTACATTTGCCAGAGAGAGACAGAGAGAAAGAAAGAAGGTAAAAAAGTACCTGCTATGAGGCATGGTCATACTACAATTCCTTCTCTCCCATTTTGCTTTCCTTTCAGAATTTTGGGCATGCACATACACACACCCACTGCATTTTTCAAGCTACTGTGTTCAGGACTCAGATCATACAGTAAGCCATGTGGAATCCAGCTCACATCACCTCCAGGCCAAGGCTGGCCTGAGTAAATGCTCTTTAAGAAGAGATCTGAAGGGACCAGCAGTTCATGTAATGGCTATGTTGCTGGATTCCCATGTAGTTGACAATGGTTCGAGTCTCAGACCCGGTGGTTTAAATTCACACTGGGTGCATGTGTGTGCATGTCCAAGATCCCAAGAGGAGAATGGAAGAGAAGGGATTGTGGCATGGCCAACGCCCCGGGGGGAGGGGGGTGATTTATCACTTTCTGTCTCTCTGTCTCTCTTTGTCTTTCTGGTGAGCACACATGCCCTATAGAAAAAATATTTTTAAAAAAGGAAGCGATCTGAAGGTGGAGAGTAGCAGAGCCATCCAGGTGGCAGAACATGTGGTATACTGCAAGAGTAGTCAATACTTCGTAGTTCTTCCTACTGAGAGATGGAGTCTGTTTCTCCACACCTTCATTCTGGCCTGGCCTTGTTGCTGACTTTGACCAGTAGATCATAGCTGCTTCTGCTATTGGGTTTTGTTATCAGACTGCCACTTTGTAAAGAAAGAAGCCTAGGCTAGCCCCCTAGAAGATGAGAAAATCATAGACCATTTACCCATGTTCACCAAAGCCAGCAACCTACTAGTAGACAAATATCCAGAGAGGCCATCCTAGGCCATGCAGCTGTAAGTCAACCTGTGAGCTGACCACAGATACTGAGCAAGCCCTGCTGAGAGCAGCAATCCAGCCCAAACCAGAACTGCTCAGCTGACCCAGATTGTGAGCCAAATAAATGGTGAAGCCACTGAGTTATGGAGTAGTTTGCTATGGTGGCAGTAGAAAACTGATAAAAAAAAAACATCATTTGCAAAAACCTCACTGTGGGAAGGACCACATAGCAGCTTCAAGAAAGTGAAAGGACAAGTTTTTTTAATATAATTTAAAAAATATTTAATTAAGTTATTATTTTAAAATTTTTTCCTATAGGATGCATGCACTCACTAGAGAAAGACAGAGGGGGAGAGAGAGAGAGGGAAAGTGAGAAAGCAAGTTACCAGGTCTGGGACTTCATCGCAATCAGCATGTGGGAGTCCAGCACCTTGCAACCTGCCTGCCCCAGTGAAAGGATATTTGTGTGGTAGAATAAGGAAAGCAACGTTGTTTTCAGACCATCTAGTGTTTCATAGGCGAGATTAAGTTATTCACGTCTGTTTATTTGTCTGATCATCCTTCCTCCCTAGGACTCTAAGTGTTCTAGAGAAGTGTGACTATCACACAGATTTCATACATGGGGCATGAACCTGTCCTCCAAGGTCATTCCAACAGAGGTGAGATGGATGAACCATTCCAATAACCAGGAAATGCATTGTCATGAAATTCTCTTTCCACAGTCTTTCTGGTCCCCTCTGATTTGGAACCAGACAAGTGGGAAGAAATGCTTACCTTGTCAGTCTCAGTGCAGTGTGGTCCCTGTCTTAGTACATTTAAAAGCTCCTTGTGAAAGAAATAGCACACTCATTGAACAGTCGTGTAAGCCCATTAATAAATGCATTAACCTAAGCAGCCCTGGTACCTCGCAGGCAGGTGTCTGACAAGCCCACCAAGAAACAGATGTGTAAGCCTTTCAACAACACTGGTCCTTTCTGGTTTGATTTTTCTCCATTTACAAAAAGGGGAATAAAGAAAGAAAAAGGTGCCGTCTTTCCAATAAGCCTAATTGCCTTGAAGG